GAAGGAAGGAAGGAAGGAAGGAAGGAAGGAAGGAAGGAAGGAAGGAATAGCAACAGCCCTTAGACTTATAGTCCACTTTCCAGTGCTTTCCAGCCCTCTCTAAACAGGTTACAGGGTCAGCCTCTTGCCCCACAACAATCTGGGTCTCCTCATTTTACCCACCTCAGAAGGAAGGAAGGCTGAGTCAACCTTGAGCCAGTCAGGATCAAACTCCTGACAGTAGGCAGTGTTAGCCTGCAATCCTGCATTCTAACTGGAAGGAAGGAAGGAAGGAAGGAAGGAAGGAAGGAAGGAAGGAAGGGAAGGATGGAAAGGAAGGATGGAAAGGAAGGAAAAGCAACACTCCCCTTCTCCCCTTTCAGCCCATTTGCCCTTCTTTTTATTATTATCCTGTACCGGCTGCCAGATGGTAATAGTTCAAAAATAGGATGAAATGCCCAGGATGAGATGGATCCTTAAGAACGTTTCAAACTTTCTGAAGCCAGCAGGAGCAACAAAGCTCCTCCCAAGAGGGGAGGTCCTCTTCAGAGAACTCCCACATACGTGCAACGTCTACCTGACTGGTTGCTCCTGATTCGGATGGCCCGGGTTTTGGCCAGCTCCAGGGCGGTGACCCAGCGCTGCCGTTCCACTTCCGAGCTCGCTTTCAAGTGGTAGGTCCTCCCGCCGTTAGAAAGGACAATGTTGCAAGAATCCTCCGTGTCGATGTGCGCCATGGACAGGTTGATGGTTCCGCGGCAGGTGTGAGCCATTTCCGCTTGAGTCCTGCCAAAGTTAATCAAAGAAAGGCTATAAGGCTCCCAGGGAAGTTAACGGAATAGAATTCTTTATTGGCCAAGTGTGACTGGACACACAAGAAATTTGCATTGGTGCAAAGACTCTCGGTATACATAAAAGAAAAGGTACATTCGTTAAGAATCAAGAATCATAACGTACAACACATAACGTTAAGCTAAAGCCATATGAACCCCAAACCAATTTAAAATGTTTTGATGGACAAGGCCTGTGAATCAATAGCTGGAAGAGAATTCTTTGGAAGCCACTCCCTTCCGAGAAGCTAACACCCAAGAAGATAGGCTCAAGATCCAGATGGATCTTGACAGACTCGAACACTGGGCCATATTTAACAAAATGAAATTCAACGTAGAGAAGAGTAAAGTCCTACACTTAGGCAAGAAAAACCCAAAGGACACATATAGACTGGGTGAAACCAGGCTCAATAGTAGTAACTGTGCGGGGGATCTTGGAGTCTTAGTGGACAACCAGGTAAGTATCAGCCAGCCGTGTGCAGCAACCGCCCAAAAAGCTAATGCAATCCTAAGTTGTATTTACAGAGGGATACAATCAAGATTAAGTGAGGTACTAATACCACACCATCCAGTTTTGTTCACCACATTACAAAAAAGATGTTGAGACTCTAGAAAAAGTACAGAGAAGAGCAACCAGGATGATGAGGGGACTGGAGGCTAAAACATACGAAGAACGGTTACAGGAACTGGGCCTGGCTAGTCTAATGAAGAGAAGGACCAGGGGAGACAGGAGAGCATCTTCCACTATTTGAGGGGCTGCCCCAGAGAGGAGGAGGGGGTCTCAAGCTATTCTCCACAGCAACTGAAGGAAAATAATGGATGGCAACTGAACAAGGAGAGATTCAACCTGGAAATAAGGAGAAACTTTCTGACAAGGAGAGCAAATCAACCCATGGAACAGAAGTTGCCCTCGGACGTTGTGGGAGTTTCATCACTTGAAACTTTCAAGAAGAGATTGGACTCCCATCCGTCAGAAATGGTGTAGGGTGGGGGGTTGGGCTAGATGACCTACAAGGTCCCTTCCAACTCTGATTATCTGTTAAAGGTTTATTGCAGTTAATTAATTAAATTATTTTAAAAAGAGGGGGGAGGGGAGGGAAGGAAATCAAGAAAGCTCGCAAAAAAGTGTCTTTCCCAAAACCACATCAAATTAACTTTGCTATCGAGAGGGTTGTCTCAGCATTCTCCACTTGAGATGGAGAAAAGGAGGAATCTCGGCTGACAACGGCGTTCACAACTCACTCACAATGGAGCATTAAAAGGGACCGACAAGAGTCAAAGCCTCTTTTGTTCGTCTTTCAGGATTTCTGTTTCTAAAAACATCAGTGGAGAAGCAGCCTTTGTTGCAAAGCTGAGCATCGACCTAGAGAGACAGACCCTTATTTCCCATAAGGCCTCTGCGTGTCCGACACAGACCCGCCCCCCCCCGCCTGTAAGTTAAAAATGCTCTGCAAGGCCCCACACCCAGAAAAAAGGAGAAAGGTGGAGAGAGGAGAATGGCTCTTGGGGAGCCATTTCATCTGTTGGCTTTCTCTTCTAATGTTTTTGGGGGAACGGTTTGCTCGAAGTGGGAGCGGTTGGGGCACGTTCCACAAATTCTTGGTGGGCTGCCAGCCCCACCCCCCCAAAATGGGAATCCTTCAAATGAGAGGTCCTGGGTGTTCTCTGAGGTTGGTTGTTTTCTTGCAGACGTTTCGTTATGCAAGCTAGGTAACATCATCAGTGCTAGAAGGGAATGGGGTTTGCAGAGGGGGAGGGCGGAGGAGGAGGAGGAGAGAGAGAAGGAAGATGGAAGAGGAGGAAGATGGAGGAGGAGGACGAGGAGGAGGACAAGAAGAAGAAGAGAAGAAGAGGAGGAGGAGGAGAGGAGGAGGAGGAGAAGAAGAAGAGAAGAAGAAGAAGAAGAAGAAGAAGAAGAAGAAGAAGAAGAAGAAGAAGAAGAAGAAGAAGAAGAAGAAGAAGAAGAGGAGGAGGAGGAGGAGGAGGAGGAGGAGGAGGAGGAGGAGAGAAGAAGAGGAGGAGGAGAAGGAGAAGAAGAAGAGGAGGAGGAGGAGGAGAAGAAGAGGAAGAGAAGAAGAAGAAGAAGAAGAAGAAGAGGAGGAGGAGGAGGAGGAGGTGGAGGTGGTGGTGGTGGTGGTACAACAACCAGTACTATTACTACGGGGTCCTTGGTGCTCTCTGGGCTTGCTTGTTTTCTTGCAGGGATTTTATCACCCAACTAGGTAACATCATCAGAACTAGAAGGGAGAGGGGTTTGGAGAGGGAGGAGGAGGAGAACTGTGGGTTCCCTGCTGCTCTCCGATCTTGTTTTAAAACTCACTTAACAAACGTCTCCCTTAGCCACAGAAACGTTGGGCTCAATTGTAGTCCCAACTCGAGGTCTAGCTGCATTGAGTATGTTTGCTGCTTTGAGTTACTTGTAAAAAAAATAAAAAATACAGGCCGGTTACACGTTACACACATCAAGTATTTATTCCGAGAAGCCCCTCGCAGTTTCTGGAGCTGCCTGGCACCCGCTGGACATATCGCTCTGTTTCAAGAGCAAACCCCCCCACCCACCCCAGGAAGAAATTTCCTTTGCACGGGTCACAACAACTGGTGGGCCAGAATGTCCTTGTCACCCAAGATGCCGGCAGAGCAAAGCCAGATTCATTTCATCTCCAGGGTTCCTTTGTCCTTCAAACTTATCTGGGGGAGGCTACAACTCTCTGCTCAAGGAAAGCCAAGAGGAGGAATGATTTAAGGGCGGATGTTCTGCCAACAACCATTAACACGAAGGCTGGGATCCTACAGGCACAAACAAACCCCACAGCATTTCCACAAAGAACAGCTACGTTCGTGGACGGTCCGAATCTTAAGATCAACGGATCAGCATTCAGCAGCCTCAGCAACTTAGCTGCCTGCCTTAGTACACCAGGGAAACATGGGAGTTGAAGTCCACCCACCTCCCGCCCAACTCTGTTAATCGGTAATCAAAGCATTTTCAGAGATGACCAATGCTTGGGGGGTTGGACTAGATGACCTACAAGGACCCTCCCAACTCTGTTAATCTGTAATCAAAGTGTTTTCAGAGATGACCAATGCTTGGAGGGTTGGACTAGATAACACACAACACAGACAAATGACTTTATCTTGTGTTGACTTTGTTTATCTGTGTTCCTAGCGTCTTCCCAACCGTGTGTGTTTTGCTGTGCCTTCAAGTCTGAAATTCCTGCTTCGGCCCTGCCAAACTCATTACTTCAGTTTGGCTTGTTTGGACTTTAAGTTACAGTTTGTGTTGACCATGTTTTGGACTTGATTCTCTGCAGCCAAAGGCTGTTCCTGGGAGAGTTTTTCTCCAGCCCAGAAGGTAACCTGGACATTGGGGGCAAAGTTGGAGATAATAAAGGGACTCTTGTTGATTATCTGACTGTGTTGCTTTTGTGCCACACCCCTTTGGGTCATCACACTGGGTCAGAATGGAATGACAGAACCGACATGGAGCAAAAAACACCAGCATCTGATATCACATATCATTACAGTGACAAGGATAGTCTTTGGCCAAAACTGGAAATCAACAATGATACCCACGGACCTGGCAATAACTGATAAAATCTACCAATGTGCAGAAATGGTTAGACTAACCATGTTACTAAAAAACAAGAAAGAAGCTTGTTTACAATTTGGAATATGCGGTACAAATGGTTGTATAAAAAGGAAGTAAAGATGTTAAGTGAAATTGATTAAGTAAACAACAAGAGAAAATGGAAATAAGGATAAATGTATATGTGGCTATGTATATACAGTATGCAAAGTAATATAATTAAATAAATATTGCATTATAATTGTAACAATAACATAAATAAGGAAGGATTTCGGAAACAAGCTATAGATTTACTTGTAGCAAATGACCTTAATTGACACTAATAGAAATGTACACTACTATGAAGACATTGCAAAAATGTGAGAACGTGTTTCTGTTTTTTTTTAAATATATTTTATTTTTATAAAATATATGCAATCAAGTTTGGTGCGATTAACCTTGAGTTTGTATCTGTTGTGTGCTCTTGTATTGTTATGGTTGAAGCTGAAGTATTCATTGACCGGTAGGACATTGCGATGTATGATTTTATATACTATTCTTAGATCGGACCGAAGGCGGCGTAGTTCTAGGTTTTCTAGGTCTAGAATTTCGAGTCTGGTGGCATAAGGTCTTCTGCAACGAGTAAAGGAGTGGAGAACTCTTCTTGTGAAATATTTCTGGACTTTCTCTACTGTATTATTATCAAATACGTAATGCGGGTTCAAGACTGATGAGCTGTATTTGAGTATTGGTCTAGCAAATGTTTTGTATGCGCTAGTTAGTAGTGTAATATTACCAGAGAAAAAGCTACATACAACCAGCCTTTCACACTTACAGCTGTAAGGGCATCCTTACGGTCAAAATTCAGCTGCTTGGCAACCGACATATATTTACGACCGATGCCGGAGGTCGCACACAATCTGGCACTTGTGACCTTCCCGGGTCTGCTTCTCCACTGGCAAAGTCAAAAGGGAGTGAAACGGGGTTGATTCAAACAATCTCGTGGTTTCACTTCCCACAGCAGGGATGAACTGAACAATGACGGCAAATGCAACCCCAGCATTAAACTCACCCAGCCTGCAAATTTGCGCTCCTCCACAAAGGAGAACCTGATAGGGTGATTCTGGGACGGCCGTTTCGACACAAAGCATTATTTTGAGCATGGCTGCTTCAAACGCATTGCGAAGAAGAGGAACTGAGATTATTAGGGGGCTGGAGGCTAAAATATAGGAAGAACGGCCACTGCAATTGGACATGTCTGGTTTAATGAAAAGAAGGTTTAGTAACCCCCCGTCCTGGACAAAAAGCACCCCCTCTCCTGTTCATGCACTGAATCGGCGTGTGTTCCAGTATTTGAGGGGGGGCAACTGGACAGCAATTCATCTGGAATGGTATGGAGCAGGGGGGCTGGACTAGAAGACCTTCGGGGTCCCTTCCACCTGTATTCTGAGTCTGGTTTTTTGTGCCCTGAATCCAGTGATACGTCTGAGGAACAGTTGCTGGAACTGGGTATATCTAGTCCGACAAAGAGGAGGATTAAGGGGTGACAGGATAGATAGCAGTCTTCCAATATTTGAGGGGCTGCCCCAAAGAAGAGGGAGTCAAGCTATTCTCCAAAGTACCTGAAGGCAGGACAAGAAGCAATAAGGATGGAAACTCATCCAGGAGAGAAGCAACCTGGAACTGAAATGTCCTAACATACAGAACAATTAACCAGTGGGACAGCTTGCCACCAGAAGTTGTGGATGCTTCGTATCAATGGAGCAAATAATTAATTTATCTGCTTGACAAATTTAAGAAGTTCTTTCTCCCTCTCTCTCTCTCTCTCTCTCTACCTATCTATCTACCTGTCTGTCTGTCTATCTATCTATCTATCTATCTATCATCTATCTATCTATCTATCTATCTATCTATCTATCTATCTATGCATGTGTGTATTGTGGCTGTCAGTTGTGTTAATTTATTTGCTTGACAAATTTGGCAAGTTCTCTTTTGTGTGTGTGTGTGTGTGTGTGTGCATGCGCCAGATCAGCATATTGCTGTACATTCACAAGGACAAGTCAAGCAGCATCTAAGGACACCGCCTGAATAAGATGAGACCAGGCAGAAAATGCACTTTAGCTGACCCCAAGGACATGCCTTAATGTAGGTTACGTAAAATGATTTGAGACACAGAATTTTCTCCGGGTCACCTGGGAGCCACCTGAATTCACACCACGCATACTCAATTTCTCCTCTGAGCACACAAGCTGAGACACTCAAATCTGTTCATAGAGCGAACATCTGAATTAAAGACCCCGGATTTAATTCCAGGTAGTCCTCGACTTACAACCACGATTGACGTCGGTAAAATGAGTCAGTTGTCAAGCATCTGAATTTTGATCATGTCACCATGGGGAAGCTGTAATGGTCATAAGGGTGAAAAACGTGGCAAATTGGCCATGGCAAGTTGGCCATGGCATGTTGGCCATGAGTTGACCTTGAGGAATTGGCCATGGCATGTTGGCCATGAATTGGCCATGAGGAGTTGGCTGTGGTGAGTTAGCCATGGCATCTTGGCCATGAGTTGGCCATGGTGAGTTGGCTGAGGTGAGCTGGCCATGAGTTGGCCATTGCGTGTTGGCCATGATGAGTTGGCTGTGGTGAGTGGGTCACGGTGTGTTGGCCATGAGTTGGACATGAGTTGGACATGCGTGTTGGCCATGGTGTATAGGCCATGATGAGTTGACTGTGGTTAGTTGGCCATGCAATGAGTTGGCCATGCAATGAGTTGGCCTCTTCATCCTAGGGCACGCAGGGAGGAACGGAGAAGGGAGCAACGTGGGTTGTGTGGCTTACAGCGGGAGGAAAGGGCCCTGATTCCCTTCATAAGCTGTAGCTGGGAACACAGTGTTTAAAAAGGGAAGCTGCGTGCAGCACACTGTTGGGAGCAAATTGTGAATGATCTGGTATCACTGAGGCTTATCTGGGTTCCTGGCGTCTTCCTAACTGTGTATGTTTTGCTGGCCTTTCAAGTCAGCAATTCCTCCTCCTGCCCTGTCACGTGAATTACTGCCGCGTGGTTTGTGTGGATTTTTAGTTACAGTTTGTATCTACTTTATTTTCAGACTGAATTTCCTTCACTTAAAGGCTGTTCCTGGGAGAGTTTTTTTCCTCCAAGGTAACCTGGACATTGGGGGCAACGTTGGAGATAAGAAAGGGACTCTTATTGCTTATCTGACCGTGTTGCTTTTGTGCCAAGCCCCTTCGGGTCATCCCAACAACTGACAATTATTTGCTACCCTAAAGTTGATTAAAGCCCTACCAAAGGATTACCGGATGACATGCAGCGACGTAAAAGTTGGGCCAAACTGAAAACAGGAGCACAGTTATTAATTTCTGGAGTAAGAGAAGCAGCTGGAAAAATTATCTAGAATTCAAAATTGATCCGTTTTGAACGTGAATTTCCCCCCCTTATAAATCTGTAAATCCGGTGTTTTTGACAACCCTTTCATTCCCAGAATTCCCCAGCCCACACGGGGTTGGAGATGAACTCCCAAGCCTTGCCAAGTTGGGAACCATGGGCCTCGAGTAGAGTCCCCACCTGGGAGGGGATGACGGGGAAGGAAGTCCAAGCCTGCCAGCCTAGAACCATGGGAGCTGGGGCCAGCGTCCAGGGAGGTGGACCATGGGAGTTGAAGTCCAACCCTTGCCAACCTGCGAACCCTGGCAGCCGAGGTGCCTGGGCAGGGGACGATGGGAGAGGCACTCCAACCCACCCAACGCCCCCCCACACCCCCAAGCCAGCAAAAGGCGCTCCCCGGCAGGGGCGCATGGATTCCACCGTACCTGTAGTAACTCAGCAGCCCGTGGCTGAGCACGAACCAGCGGCGCTGGTAGCCCTTCAGGTAGTTGGTCCACTTGAAGAGCCAGCCCCGGTAGGTGTCCGACGGGCCAGAGGCGGCGGCTGCAGCGGTGGGGCAGCTCTCCTTGGCCAGGAGGCTCATGACGGCAGCAGCGGCCCGGCGGCGGGGGCGAGGCGGCTGCTTGCAAGCCAGGCACGGGACGGCGCCCAGCAGGGAGACCAGCCCGCGGCTGCCGGCGCTGCACAGCGGGCCCACCGCCGCCGCCGCCCCGCCGCCCATAGGCGCCCCGCCGCTGCTCCGCCTGCGCCCGCGGGGCTCGCCCGACGCCGTCGCCAGGGCTGGGCAGGGACGGGGAGGGGGGAGGGGGCGTGGCCACGCCACCCAGGGCACGCCCCCTCGCGTCAGGGGCGGAGCGCTCCTCGCTCCCCCGACCCTCCCTTCTCCCAGCCAGCCGGGACTTCAACTCCCAGCGTTCCCTCTGATCTTTCCCGTTTCCTCCCCCCCCCCGCCCGCTTGCCCTGGGAGGGCATTTCGGGAGTTGAAGTCCGCGGCGACGCATCTCGCCGTCCCGGAGGAACCCAGCGATCCTTAGACTTAGAGGCCGCTTTAGATAGATAGATAGATAGATAGATAGATAGATAGATAGATAGATAG